AAATGTTAAGATCCACTGCTCTAAACTGATATAATTAAATAAATAAATAAATAATAAATAAATAAATAATCAGCACTTAAGAAAAAATGGAGATAAATTCTTAAATCAGGAAATTGAAAAATAGAAAGACATAGTAGCAATACATTTAGGGAAAAAAATTTTTAAATGATACCAATAATTGACTTATTAAATGATAAACATAATTGGAAGATCATTTAGCTGTACTGACTTTGAAGCTCAATAGGTACTTCTCAGTAATGCCATTAACATGAGACTGTATGACTTTGTCCAATGGAAAGAGTTAGCCAATGAATACTGTAATGTGACACATGGAGTTACAGTCAATGGCCTGTGTCTCAAACCTCTCAGCTGATGTAACTGTGCCAATCATGATTGCAAATATTTTCACAAGAGAGTTCTCTAATTGGAAACTGAATACTTAGTAATCCCAGCTATCCTACCTAAACTGGCCACCCGCCAATTCTGTCTGTCTTCATTCACATGGAGAGAAATAATACATATAGAAAAATAAAGACAAACACGCTCACCATGTCCCATCAGTCCTTCTTTGTAAAGGAGACCCCTGAAGTTCACTGCCTTAATTATCATCCTCTGAACCAGGTATTTTCTAGTCTGGTTCCCCCTGCCATGTACACAGTAGACTGTTCCTACTCTTCTGGTCTGAATGAGAAGCCATTTTACACACACAAATCTTTTTGCTGTTACTGCAATGGACAGCCCACTATATGACTCAGACTAGTAGTTATATAACTCTGTGATCTTGCAGGCCTGTAATGAAAGAATTTAGGTAGGTTAGTCAGGCGGATAAGAAGGACAATGCCCTGTGGGACTACAGACAGGGTTCAAATCCACCTCTATCAACATAGGAGTCCTTAACTCAAAACTTCTTTTCAAAAATCTGGAGATGCTGTTGTAGAATTATGATGTCTTCATAGCACAAAAGGACTTAATGTTGGTTGTGATCCTGCAATGGTCCCTTGAGCAGCATGTTAGAGAGACACCAGTAAAGGAATTTCTTTCCCAACTACATGTGAGAGTTTGGTCTTGAAAAGTAGCCCTCTGGAAGGGCATCTTGTAGCATGAATTGTTAGGTCTTGTTAATAAGAATAAACCTGGTGCTAGGTATTGAGGTGAATGCTGGAAGATCAGAGAAGCAGAACAAGCCATAGCCACACCACCTTGCCAATTCCTCAGCTGATCCTGTTTCCACAGACTGGAAGCCTCTGTGTCCTCATCCGAATCTGTCTCAGCTGAACTACTGCTCAAAAGCCTGAAAGCTTAACCTGCTCTAGTTACTGGCCCTCATGCCTTGAATACCTTTCTGCTTTCTGCCATCGCTTCCTGGGATTAAAGGCATGTTCCACCATGCCTGGCTGTTTCCAGTGTGGCCTTAAACTCACAGAGATACCGATGGATTTCTCCCTCTCTAATGCTAGGATTAATGGTGTGAGTGCCACCATTTTCTAGCCTCAGTATCTAGTGGATATTCTGTTCTCTGACCCCAGATAAATTTATTAGGTTTCACAATATTTTGTGGAACACAATACCACCATAGTATCCCAATACTTGCACCTGATAAATGAAATTCAGTTGGAAGAACACACATCAGTCACATCCCAAAATGGAAGTTAGGCTTAAACCTTCAGAGGGAGGTCTGATAATTACTGGCAGTAAAAATCAACTACACAATTTAGGGTAAAAAGAAACCCCAAAGAAATGTAAGCAGTTCCTTTCTTAACTAACAGCCAGAAGTGTCACTGGGATTCTGAGGATTTCATCCTTTACAGAGACCAAAGATGCCAAAAGTGCTTTGGGGAGCTCTGATCTCTAATGCTAAATGATTCTACATGCCTTAGGAAGGAGAAAAGTTAAAAGTAGTAATGAAGGTCTGTTAAAAGGGCCCTAGGTCAGGAGAACTGGATCTTTGTCGTGGGTACAGAACTAACATTTCAGTGCGGATATGTCAATTTCCTGACCAAGGAACCTAGTCTGTGGAGCCCAAGAAATGATCACTCAGGACATTTATTAATCACCTATAATTGATTAACTGATTGTACAATTGCAACCCAAACTGCAGAGAAAACTGGAAAATTTTACAGCTACTTTCCTTTCTGTACTGTGAACATCACTGGTTGTAATATATGGACAATGAATTCCCATTCTCATACAAGCACCTCTACAATGCCACTCTACATTAAAAACCCTGGGCTGAACTAAAATATTCATTGTCCTGTTTCTTTTGCCTTCTCACTGAGCTGGCAAAATCCAGTCTGGAATGCCTAACACTTGGTTACAGTGTCAGGAAATAGTTGGTGGAAACAATATAAAGATAATCCCCAAAATTATGTTGAGAAATTATAACAGGATTTATGGCCCTGTGCTGCAGAGACTAGAGATTTGTATTAGAGTACAACAGGGAAAGCTCACACCTTTTCTCTCAGGCTAAACATCTTATACCTAGAAAATCACAGTCTTATTAGTCAGGAACACACCATTTTATCCAGATCTCCTATTTTGGTTCAACTAGAGTAACTACAGTAATTTGGTTTCATGAAAGTTCAGTTCTTGAACTAGATTCTTAATTGCTTGATCCGTCATCAGACAGTACAATTATTGATTATCTAACACTGATAACTTCAGTACTCATTGCTAATGTCATCTACTGTCATAGCAAAAAAGCTTTCACCTATTTTCTTGCTCACCCATTTCTTTGCTGTGTCTAAACCTGATTAACATTAGTATGTCAACTCAATTATTGCACAACTCCCTCTTTACTTGTAAGTTTCCAGAAATGCCAGAGTTTGGAAGACATTCATTCATTGGTTTATTTTTCTTACTCACTGACTGGTTAAGACACAGACTAGAAGGAATGGTGGGACTATCTTCACAGTCCTCAACAGCACAGGGATGATTAAATGATCAAAGCAATTCTTAATTATAGTGTGTGAATATAACCTGAGGTAAAGGAGAAAGGGATCTAAATAAGAAAAAAATGAACAATAACTGATAAAATTGCAAAGAAAACCTTAATGTCAAGGAAATACATATAATAAAATGTTTGTTTGCATACACACATGAGGTATTTAATTTTATTTCATATTCTCTATTAAGTATTTTAACATTAAAATTGTTAAAAAGTTTTGACAATACAGAAAATGTTGGGAGTGCATCATCTGTACTTAGACTTGTACTTAGGAGACTGAAACATTAGGATTATGAGTTCAAGCATATCCTTGACTAATTACTGACACACAAGGCAGGCTGGATAACAATGAGTATTTCAAAGGAATTTATGAAAAATGAAACCAGGAACAAAAACCCACCATCCTTTAACAGACATCCTTACTTGAAAATTATGCTCACATTCTGCCTGATATTTAATACAAATAGACCACTTACATGATAACCATTATTCTGTACATTGCAGCAGAAAAATACCACACACTAAGTGAATGCACAATAGAACATGAACAAAAGTCACAGAAGGAATAGATGAACCACAAAATAAGCTTCACTAAATGGATTTGCAAAACATATAGCCACTTTATACATCAAATGTTGCAAAAGAGAAGCCATAATGTGACCTTCACATCAGTCTTTAGTGAACATTTTTAGTAATTTACTTACTTCAAAGAAATTAAAAAGGGATGTTAGAAGTTTTTTTCTTGACTATGAACCAAATGTTTATATGAAAAGGATTTTTCTCTTCTATGACCTTTCCCCTATTTCCTAATATAAATATGACATGAAAAAAGCTCTAAAGTATTTACAGGGCTAGAGACACAGCAGTATCTTAATACAAGCTCATTTCCAGGAACAAAGTATGGATTTTGAGAACTTGCAGTAATCCAAACAACAAGAAGTTCCAAAGGTCTAATCTTCTTGGGAACAAGAATAAACATGCACAAGTACAGAGAGATATCACATAATTAAAATTAAAACAACTCTTAAACTAATTTTTACTCATGTTTTTCTCCTGTAATTCTAGTCACAAAGGTATTGAGGAATCTAAATGCTTACAGAATTTCTCTGCATTATATATTGGTTTGTGTAACAGAAAGCAAGCATGTAGGATTGACATCAGAGAAATCAATCATGTTTAGTTTGTGGTATTATTTGGGATTATTTAGAAAATGCTGCCCTAGGGGAAGAAATATGTCATGGTGGGTTGGTCTAAGAGTTTACCATTTCTTTTTTACACTTTATGCTTTATGTTGCAGATTAAGGATGGGAATTTTCAGTTTCCTACTGTAGCTGCCATGTATGAAACTTGTTTCCATGTCACTTTCATTCTGACCCTATATCAGTCTTGAACCAATGGCCAATTAACCACTTTCATATGTTCACATTGACATGATATATCAGAGCAACAGAAATGAATTAATACACATTCATGAACTGTTACACGTGGATTCATTATCTCACGTAATTGAAGTATGAAATCTAAATTAGTTACCATATCCTTTAAATCCATAATCCTTTCTTCCATGTGAATTTGCAGGTATAAACCAAATACAGAGGGACATCATAATGTTTGAAGAGATTTTTGACACCTGTGAGATATTTCCCTCAAGAAAAATCTTATGTACTGAATGTAAGTGTGTTGGCTAAAGATCTTACCAAATCTTTATAATCACATTTCCTTTGGTATGAGTTTCTTTAGATCTTCAAAATCTAATGTTGTATTCACAGGATTTAAGACAGCAATATACACTAATAGTATTACTCTTGTAGGGTTCTTCTCCATTATGTGTTCTTTTATGTATTCTAAGATTACTGTGACGTTCAAATTCTTTATCACACTGATTACATTTGTAAGATGCCATTGCAGTATGCGTTCTTGTATGCCTTTGAAGATGATTATGATGTGCAAAGGCTTTACAACACTGGTTACTTTCATATGGTTTCTCTCCTGTATGTGTTCTTTCATGCATTTGAAGAACATTGTTTTGAGCAAAGGCTTTATCACAATGTTTACATTAATAGGTTTTTTCTCCAGTATGTGTTCTTTTATGCACTTTAAGATCACTGTTACAAGGAAAGGCTTTACTGCATTGGTTACATTAATAAGGTTTCTCTCCTGCATGTCTCTTTTTATATATTTGAAGACAACTGTGATGTGAGAAGGCTGTACTACACTGATTATATTCATAAGGTTTCATTCCAGTATGTGTTCTTGTATGCCTTTGAAGATGACTGTAATGTACAAAGGCTTCATTACACAGATTACATTCAAAGGGTTTCTTTCCAGCATGCATTGTTTCAAGTGCTTTAAAATGACTGTGATCTGCAAAGGCTTTACCACATTGATTATATTCATAAGGTCCCTCCCCAGTATGTGTTTTTGCATGTCTTTGAGGATGACTTTGATGTTCATAGGCTTTACTACATTGATTACATTCATATGGTTTCTCTCCAGTATGTGTTCTTTTATGGCTTTGAAGATAACTGTGTTGTACAAAGGCTTTAACACATTGGTTACATTTATAGGGTTTCTCTCCTGTATGTTTCCATTTATGTATTTGAAGATAACTGTGATATGCAAAGGTTTTATTACACAGATTACATTCATAGGGTTTCTTTCCAGTATGTGTTATTTCATGTGTTTTAAAATGATTGTGATCTGTAAAGGCTTTACCACACAGATTACATTCATAGGGTTTCTCTTCAGTATGTGTTCTTTCATGCCTTTGAAGGTGACTGTGATCTGCAAAGGCTTTACCACAGTGATTGCATTCATAGGGTTTCTTTCCAGTATGTGTTCTTTTATGCCTTTGAAGATGACTATGATCTGCAAAGGCTTTACCACAGTGATTGCATTCATAGGGTTTCTTTCCAGTATGAATTCTTTCATGCCTTTGAAGATGACTATGATCTGCAAAGGCTTTACCACAGTGATTGCATTCATAGGGTTTCTTTCCAGTATGTGTTCTTTCATGCCTTTGAAGATGACTATGATCTGCAAAGGCTTTACCACAGTGATTGCATTCATAGGGTTTCTCTCTAGTATGTGTTCTTTCATGCCTTTGAAGATGACTATGATCTGCAAAGGCTTTACCACAGTGATTGCATTCATAGGGTTTCTTTCCAGTATGTGTTCTTTCATGCCTTTGAAAATGACTATGATCTGCAAAGGCTTTACCACAGTGATTGCATTCATAGGGTTTCTCTCCAGTATGTGTTCTTTCATGCTTTTGAAGGTGATTATGATATGCAAAGGCTTTACCACAGTGATTGCATTCATAGGGTTTCTCTCCAGTATGTGTTCTTTCATGCCTTTGAAGATGACTATGATAGGCAAAGGCTTTACCACAGTGATTGCATTCATAGGTTTTCTCTCCAGTATGTGTTCTTTCATGCCTTTGAAGATGACTATGATCTGCAAAGGCTTTACCACAGTGATTGCATTCATAGGGTTTCTCTCCAGTATGTGTTCTTGTATGCCTTTGAAGATGTCTGTCATGTGCAAAGGATTTATCACACTGTTTACATTCATAGGGTTTCTCTCCAGTGTGTGTTCTTTCATGCCTTTGAACAACACTGTTTTGAGCAAAGGCTTTATCACACTGATTACATTCGTACAGTTTCTCTCCAGTATCTGTACTTTCAAGCATTTGAAAAGTACTGTGTTGTGCAAAGGCTTTCCCACACTGATCATGTTCATAGAGTTTCTCTCTAGTATGTCTTATTTTTTGCAAATGAAGAGAAATATGATGAGGAAAGGCTTTACCATATTGATTACATCCATATGTTTTCTCTCTAGTTTGACTTCTTTCAGGTCTGCAAAGATAATTTGAAAATGTAACAGCTGTACCATATTCATTAATCTTTTACATCTTTATTTCTGTGTGAATTAATTTTACATTTTGGTGTAAATGTAAAGAGAAATGGGATCATAAGGTTTTATCACTTTGCTTATACTTATGTTGTTCCCCTTCATTAAGGATTATTTTGCTCTGTTGAAGATACCTATGATGTTTAGAGCCTTCATTAAATGGATCACATATATGGAATGATTTTCTCAATGAGATTTTTCATATTTATGAAAAGAATTGGAAGTATTTAGACCTTTACCCCACTTAATTTCACTAATATCTTTTCCTATACCATGACTCCTACTACATTTGCTCAATGAACCAAGACAGACAGAAGTTTTACACATTCTCACTACTCAAAGGACTTTTCTTCAGTTTGTTTGTAGATGTATTCCCAGTTAAGCTGGAAAACCAATTATGTGTAAACTTGAATCACATTAAGCAAGCCTACTCAATATGAGACTAGTACATAACTTATAATTGTTTTGAGATGTAGAGGGATGCACTGCATTTTTCCATATTGCTATGTTCATATGGCTTGTACCCAGAGTGACATATGCTATACCTAGTAAATGAAGAATAACAAATAAAAAGTTTCTACATTGTCTCCACACAGGTTGACTTTTTGTTCCTCATATACATGTGATATAGGTTTTAAGGCTTCTTCACAACAATCCCCCCTTAACTCTTGACTCTTAAGACTCCTCTCACTAAACTTAGCAGTGTCAGAAAAACTAGAGAGTAACACTAGCTTTAATATGGAGTATTTGTTTATTACAAGGCTTTGGACATACACTTATCACATATTTAATATGTATACCTTTGGTAATAAGAGTCATATGAAACTAAATGAGTGGGCAATTCCACAGCGTAGCTCTGATAGAACTATGATTCAAATGCTCATATCTCTTAAGGTATTGATTCCTTGTCTTCCTTCTAAAATAAATAACCTGCCAATACAATTCATTTACCTGTCTTTGATGTATATGGATTGTGAGCATTTAAAGATCATTAATGTAATTTAGCTATGATTAATTACACTGTTGCATTTCTTTAAAACTTTCAAATACATTAAAATATATCCAGAGGCACCTTTGTATCAGCTTGTAAATAAAAATTACCTTTCATGTCTTTGAGAGCTTTGACAATGTTCTTCAACTTCAAGATTTTCCCACTTGTATCCTAAAATATAGAATGAGGGAAAGTATAAATTATTACAGGAATTGTGCAAAATTTGATTTACTATCTTCAGTGATCCTTAGAATCTTTCCTGATTTAGTTACCTCATTCTGCCTCATTCTCAATCAGAATTACAGAAGAGTATCAATAACCAAAAAAGAATTTTTGCCTTAAATTAAAATATGAATGAAAATTTACCTATAGCAATGAGGTTCATATATGTCTCCAGCATCATATCTTTGTAGATATTCTTCTGTGAAAGATCCAGCAAAGCCCACTCCTCATGAGTGAAGTTGATGTGTACATCATTATAGGTCACGGCATCCTAAAATATGCTGTATATAAGTATGTCATACATATGTATAAAACAAAAAGCATGGCCGGTCAGGGGTGGTGCACACCTTCAATCGGGAGGCAAAGCCAGGCAGACTTCTGTGACTTCGAGGTCATCCTGGGCTACCAAGTGAGTTCCAGGAGAGTTGCAAAGCTACACAGAGAAACCCTGTCTTAAATAAAGCATGATGCCAACAACATTGTAAATGCATGCTTCTTGACAATATAGTCATATAATTCTGGTGCTTCCCACTCTTATTCTTTAACTCAGACATTACAATATAATCATCAATTTATTTTAGAATAAAAGAGAATTGCCCATTAACAGACATAGAGACAAGCAAACACATCAAGAGCACTGAGTACACATCAATGAAATTGTATGAATAATTACTAACTACAGAAATGATGAGTAAGCTTGGTGTATTGGCTCATACCTTTAATCCCAGAAACCAGAGAGCAGAGGCAGGTATATGTGCTTCTGAGTTGAAAGCTAGCCTAGTCTATGCAATCAGTTCCAGGACAGTAAAAAGTAAATATTAAGAACCTGTCTGCACTGCAAACATCAATCATATGTACAAATACATAGGATGAACTCAGAGCCTGTTTCTTTACTGAAGTTGCTACAAAGAGTTAGGCATTTACTCCAGTTCTGTATTCATCTTCTAGAAATCTGAATTGTTCCAGCTTAAACTGTACTTTAAGAAGTCTTACTATAAGGAACTTTTTATTTAAACAGTTACAAATAGACAGATGATAACATGAGCAATATCACTGTTGATTATAAAAAATCAACACAGGGCAGGCCAGATGAGTCAGAAGTTAAGAGCTGTTACTAGTCTTGTATACAGATGGGTTCAATTGCCAGTACTTACATGGGGGATCCCACAACTGTTCATTATTCTTAGCTCAGAGATTCTAAGACCCTCTTTTGAGTACTGTGAGGGCCAGGCATATGTGCACTGCATATCTATGTATAGAGGCAAAAGAATCATAGTTATTGAAAAACAAAATAAACACAACAAACAGGAAGAATGTCACACACCTGTAATTTAATTACTCAAAATTTCCAGGCACTATGACTGTCATAAATACTGCCAACCTGGAAATGAGAATGATATCCTCTGCCAAATTTCAAAATTCAAGCAGGGGGTAAAGTTAAAAAAAATTGGCATATGCTTGACATGTACAAAAATGCATAATCTAGGCCCATCACCCGAATATATATATATATATATATATATATATATATATATATATATATATATATATATATATATCCACAAATGTTGGACATGTCATCTCAGCATGCGGGAGCAAGGCTCAGGTGAATCTCTGAGTTCAAGGCCAGCTTGGTGTATAGAACTAAGCTTAGGAAAGTCAGAGCTACACAGAAAGTTTGTCATCAGAAACAAATATAAAAACATCAAAATTTAAAAAAAAAATCAGGCTAGCAAAACGGCATAGCATTGAATACCAATTTGTTTAATTGTATCTTATGTGATTAAGTAATAGCATCTATAATGTTGCTGAAGTCATGACAGCACAAGAAGGAAGCTGGCTGTTACATTTCAAATATAACATAGTAGAAACTTAGAAAAGAAATGAGTTAAGGCTATAGAGACATATATCATACCCCCAATAGAAATTTTATCCAGAGAGGTTACTCCTACTTGAGGTTCTACAAGAACCCCAAAGAAAGCTGTCAAGGACAGACACATGTTCAAACACCTCACCCTATCTGGGAGCTTTTTATTCAGTTGACTAGATTCTGACCCAGGTCACTATAGGTTCAGGATCATCCATAAAGAACATGCATTTAGTCACTTCAATGATGCTCATAGTCTGCAACAGCCCCTACACTGTTCAAATGTCCAAAATCGCTTTTGACACACAAGACAAATTCTTGACTGTGTCATCTTATACAACCTGAAAACAATTTAAATATTTCCAACATATAAATGGCACAGAAAACCTTTTCCCATTTCAAATGAGAGGAACTGAGTCATAGTAAGGAAAGACAAGGAGAAGACTGAAATCCAGCAGGGCAACCATTGAATCTGGTAGCTCTGTGTCAGAGACATGGGGCTTCATTTTCAAAGGGCTTAGATGGCTCTCTTCCCACAACTTCCCATACATCTCTCTCTTTGGTTACTTCCACTCAATATATGCAGCTCTCCTAGGAAGATGCCTCATTGCTTAAGTATCTCAACATGTTATGGTCTTAAATTGCAACCCAGGCTTCATCGTCATAGTGTCATGCAATGAACTTAGACACTATCCTCACTGGAACTCTTACAATACCAAACACAGATGCCTACAACAGAGCTGACATGAAAATGCAGACTAAGAATGTATAATCTTAAATTTTGCATCATTCTGGTATCCAGAACCAGTTCAACATCAGTGATTTCCCCAAATTTGGCTTCTTAGTTGTGATATCCCCTGCCATACTTGAACCAGAGTTGTGGCAGGCTTTGAATAAAGTTGCTTCCTGGGACTGACAATCACTTTGCTTAATCCCTCTATTAATTGAGTGCCTAGAAGGAGGGATTCTTACCCTTAAGGCACCTTGCTAGGCTTCCAAAGTAGAGTAAGGGTCTTCTTTTTAATGGTGATACTCTCCCTGAAAGTTGCTGACACTTTTCAGCATTTGACTACCTTCTACAAATTCATAGTGCTGTTTTTCTCTACAACCCATAGACTTTTCATTGATTTATGATCCATTTCTTGATTTTTTTAATGTAGTACTGAATGAATCATAAGTAATAGCTATCCAAGAGAGTCAATAGTCCATCTAAGAAATCAGTCCCATTATTTTTTTTTAATTCTGCCTTACTCGATTTCTTGAGGAAATGGGCAAAATAAGAAAAGTTAGGGGGCAAAATATCACATAAATTACCTCGATTTTAATTCTCCTGAAATCCTTTGACCTGTACCTCCACTGTTCATAATACTTTTAACAGTATTTATTCAATGTACTATAAGAATAACCAATTAAGCTCTGTGTGCAGCTTTCTATGTCCTTTGTCATCTAAATTTTGACATGCTCAACATTGCCCCCAAAAGTCATCCTTCCCAGGACCTTTGGACAACAAAATCACTTTTGGTTTATCACATTCTGTTACAACTTGCTTTTTTCTTGCTCTGATTCAATTCTTTACACAAAAGCACCTAGGTAACAAACATGTTTATTTGCCGCATTCTTCCAGATCACAATCCATCATTGTCAGTGTTTAGAATAGATATTCAATGTAGCAACTGAAGGCAAAAACCATGAGGAATCTTTGTTTCCAGGCTTTCTCTCTGACATAGTCATTGTCTTATGCCATGCTTGCTGTCTTATCTAGTGCAGGTCAACATTCTTAGGGATATTGCATACTCAGTGGGAGGGCCATCACCCATAAATCATAAGTCAACAAAATCTCTCACAGACTTAACAACTAGGTGTTCTGATGGGGCACATCCTCAACATACGTTCCAAAAGGTGACTGTGTGCTCTGAAATGTTGACATCTGAAAGTAAGTAGGACACAGAGAAAATAATATATGAGATTTTCCAAACCCAAACCCAATGAATCAACTACATCAACAACTTAAATAACAAAAAATTTGATGATGATAACAAGTAGCAATACAGATACACCAAGGAATGAAGAAATACAAGTTTCTGAGATCAAGAAGAGAAAACTGAAATTGTTCATCTACAGAAAATCTCCAAATGAAAAACCTAAGGAGATCTTAACATAATATAGTAATTTTCCATATTATAAAAATAAGTGAAGTTCCATCATTTGCCAGAGAAACAATATAACTATATCATAACTAATAAAAAAAAACCTCACACAACTCAGATGGTACCAGTGATCAAAGGAGATAGAAAGACAGACCTACAAATATAACATTGTCCCTTGAAAAATAATTATAAGTTTCTAATGAAAATCAAAATCAAAGAAATCACGGACCACCACTCACCCTGTGCACTCCACTTCTGTCCTTCACCAATAATAGAAAATAGGTTGAGTGAGAAGTCTCTTCCACCAAAATTGGAATCATTCACTTGAAGCCTGATATTTCTACATTGTAGAAAATAGTTTTGGTTACTAATACTATCTCATTTTCCTTTGATAAAGAATAGGATGTCTGTTAGAAAATTTAAAACAATTTCATTTCCTATAATTAAAGATTAGATGTAAACCTATATCAGAGTGAGGAAATAAAAAAAATTATACCAAATGAAAGACAATATTTTTTTAAAATAAATATTGTATGATTCTATTATATATTTAAAACAGCCTGATTTCCTTTATAAGTCTTTGTTTTATAAGTCTTACAAACTTTGAAAACAAGTCTAGACCCATTTTTTGTGTACACTGGTATGTAAGAGAAAGAATATTTTCCATGTGTGTATAGGTGACAGAGCAAAGATCATGTCAGATCCCCTGGATCTGGAATAGCAGGGAATTATAAGCCTCCCAACTTGAGTGCTCATATCTGAACTCCCCCAAGAATACTTGCTGAGTGACATTTACAACCCACATACTACTTTTTATCCAGTAAACTAAAAGTCTTTCACAGATCAGTCACAACAGAATTCTAAATAAGGGAATAGTAAGTAAATGATCCTTGGGAACCTAATGAATCAATATTAAGATGTTGGGTATGGTACCAGGAATACTATTGACACACCTTCCCCTCTCAGGGATCCAATACTCATGGTTGCCCTGAGGGCTGAAACAGAACTCTAGCTGCAGCTTCTCCTCTCACTTTTCATGTCTTCTGTGGATTCAAAAGAGCATCCCCCACAACCCTTCCCTACTCTCCTCATATCTGAGTCCCATTACCCAACTGTGCCAGACACCCTCTGTTCAACTACTCACCACATCTTCCAAAAGACCAGATA